GAAGCAGTTTGATGGGAGCCAGCAACAATCACTCCTGAGTGGGACAAACGGACTGCACGTGACTACCCTCCTAAACATGGGTGGTCTGCTGGAGCAAGGCTGGATGCAGTCGAGTTTACAGGCAAGGCAACCAACCCTATAGAGCAGGTCTTCTGGGCAACACACGGGCAGGCTCACTGTGAGTGTTACTGACAATACAATCCAATAGTTTAAATATATCTCAGCGAGTTGCATCATCATCTCCACAATCAATTTCAGGTCATTTTCTTCCTTGTATCCATTGTTATTAGCTCCCCACTCCCCACCCTCAATATCTGCTGTTATAATCAATCCTATTGTTGTTAGTGCCACCCCGAGCGGGCTTCAACTCAGCAGGGTCCCCTGGAGCACAGACTGACGACACGCTGCCTGGTCCTGCGCTATCCTCCCTGTTGCTCTCCGGTCTGAGCCCGGGTCAACCCATCTTGTCAAGGGTCTTCCTCTTTCTCGCTGCCCTCCACTGTGCCGCGCGTGACGCCCTTCTCTACAAACTGGTCTCACCTGTGTTTGGCCTTGTCCCAGGAGTAGAAAAACAAAGTCGCTTGAAACTTCCTGACACATCTTAGCAAGCTTTTAGAGAAAACTATCTGTCTGCCTCCCCATTTCCTCCTTCCACATCTTTCCCTTCAACCCAAACTACCCAGAAAGCCACGGGGTCTGTTTTGACCCAGGCGTTTCTATCAGTAAAGAAATGGGCTGCTCTATATAGTTCTTCTCACTAAGATGCTAGTGATTTAATGTACTGCCAACCCCAGAGTGATGAAAGTCTTAAAATATGGCGAACGAGAGAGCAAGAGACCTAGGTGGCAAGGGGAAGGCAAGGATTAATCTGGTGGAATCAATATTTAACTGACTAAAGAGGGCCAGGTACTGTGGTAACAGGGGCTTCATGGAGCTCGCCATTCGTGGCTCAGTTACATGCACACGTCACTCTCTTGAAGATGCCGCACTATTGCTCAAGCCTTTCCATTTGCCTAGAAAAACAACCCGAAGGCAATGCCAACACGGTCCCTCATTGTCCCTTTACAATATGCAATCAGTAGATGATAATTAGAAGAAATCTGGGACAAGACTGGCCCCGGATGTGGGACTTATTATCATTATTTCTCCTGCACAAGGAGAGATTAATAGGCTGGCCAATAGGCCCCCGGCCAAGGTCTTAAACTACCATGGCCTCTGCTTGTCCCCCTGGTGTGTTCAGACACCAACGGGCTAATCGACATCAGAGTGAAGACCGAAGAAATGTTGTAATTTTGCACAGAGGCAGTGGTTCTGGGTAATTACGTTTTCTGATTGAGAGTTATCCTCAGTGGATTACAACCTAGTGTCTCTAGCACCTTTCAAACTCTAATCCATTCTCCAGCAGACAGAGAATCTTTGAGATGGATGGTCCGGAGTCTCACGGATTATGATTATGAATCCAGGGTAGAAATTGAGGGAGGGCTGGGGTCAAGTTTTCCCACCAAGTTTCCTCATTTTAGGAGTGTTGGCATGTACAGGGAAGAGAGGGCATACAATAAAAGCATGAGGGCAGAGTTCCTCATTAATTGCAGGATAATTGAGAACGCACTATGAACAGGCACTGGGGAGACCGAGCCAGGCCCACAGATACCCCTATTGTCAGTGTAAGATAAGGAATACTCAGCCAAGCACCCGGGGCCCATTCTCAGACTTTTGCATAATGTATAGACGAGTAAAAAGATCATTTTTGAACATAGAAAGCTATGGCCTTGGGTAGTGCTAGAGAGATAGGCTGTGTGACTGTGGACCAGGTTAATAAGTCTTTCCAGGCCACGGTTGTCCATCTGTGATTTGAGGGTGATAGGAGATACACTCATAGAATTGTCCGGAAGAGTAGGGGTGAAATGTACAGAGCCCGTAGGCCCGTCACGTGTGTGCACGTGCACGCACGTGCACGGGGGTCCTGTTATTAAAACTG